AGAGAGAGAGAGAGAGAGAGAGAGAGAGAGAGAGAGAGAGAGAAGGAGAAAGAGAAAGAAAGAGAAAGAAAGAGAAAGAAAGAGAGAGAAAGAGAAAGAAAGAGAGAGAAAGAGAGAGAGAGAGAGAGAGAGAGACAGAGAGAGAAAGAGAGAAAGAGAAAGAGAGAGGAGAAAGAGAGAGGAGAAAGAAAGAGGAGAAAGAAAGAGAGAGGAGAGAGAGGAGAAAGAAAGAAAGAGAGAGAGAGAGAGAAAGAGAGAGAATTTCCTATTAGACATTTTGAAGTGTTTTAATATTGCATGAACAGTCTGGGCACAAGGCAGGGGAAATTTATGCAAACCACAGGCACAGCTTTAATCTACCCCAAGGTTTCTGAAGCTCTGGAACTGGAGCGAGGGGCGTACGCTCAGCGAGGCTTTGGACTCGACCCTTCTCCTCTCCCAGTCATGCAGCAAACAGGGGACACTGGCATCCATCAAGGCGAGCCTGTGCCCGTTGGCATCACCATCATCATCACAGCCCCGCAGCCTGCCAGCACCATGGGGTCCCCTCGGCTTAGTGTGCTCCAGGCCCACAGTGGCCCTCCAAGGGCCGTGGGCCCCGCAAGAACATTCCAGGCAAATTAAAGGGGAAGTCTCTCTCTCTCTCGCCTCCCACTCAGTTTGCATGGCAAGAGAAAGGGCTTCGAAACTGGCAGGCAGGACTCCTCCGCCTCCCCAGGAAACTCTCTCCCCTTTATCCTGCCCCCCCCCATAAATTATGACTCTCGCAAAGGACTTCCTTCTCTTTTCTGGCACCCGGGGACCCTCCAAAGCAGCTGGCGATACTATCGGGCAAGAGATGAGACGAGTCTGACAGCTGGCTTTTGTGAAGAGTTTATCAGGAGCGTGAAGGGGAAAGGAGCAGAAAGGGGCTGCCGGAATCCCAGCTGTCAAAGCCATTCTTTTACCTTATCGAGTCTGAAAGGCGCTTCTGTGGAAGAGCCAAAGGGAGGGGAGGGGGGGGAGAGACACGTGACCATTTCAGAAGGTGTGACATTCTACACAATACTTCCCAAAAATTATTATTTGTGCGTGCTCTTTGAAGGCGCGTTATGGGAGAAAAAACGCAAAGGGCAAGGATAGAAAAGGGAGAATTCTCAGGGCAGGGGCAGCAGAAGGATGGACACAAACAAAGGAGACCGGCCACTATGCGGCTTGCAAGCGGAGAAATGTAAGGAACTGCACAGCGGTCAGAGATGACGCTGCTTTTGTCCGAACAAGCAGGGCTATTTTTGGGCAGGAACGCACAGGAACGGAGTTCCGGCTGGCTCCCAAGCTGGCCACGCCCAGCAGGAACTCATTAGCATAATGGGCCACACCCAACAGCAGAAACTCATTAGGATTGGCTACAATTAGGGCCGTGTGGCCTAACATGCAAAAGGCCCTGGGTTTTGGCAACAAACAAGGTAAAGAGAATAAGAAGCAATAGGTGGGTGTGGCTGGATGACCACACTTCTGGTCACATGGGGGTGTGGCCTAATAGGCAAATGAGCTGTGCTGTCAGGGTGTGGCCTAATATGCTAATGAGTTCCTGCTGTTGTGTATGGCCTATTATGCTAATGAGTTCCTGCTGGGCTTTTTCTACAAAAAAAGCCCTGCGAACAAGCATTGGCAAAAACCTGTCGCCGCCCCCCCCCCACACACACACACCAGCTTACCAAGCACAAAGTATTTCAAGATTTGTTTTAACATCTCCTTCTGGATCTCAGGGTGAGTGATGGAATTCAGCAGCCGGCGTTTCTCTGGCTGGGAGAAAACTATGCTCCCCAGAGCTTCCCGATTGATTTCGCCACTCTCCGCGAGGATTTCAGGACCAAAGGCACCCACGATACGCTGGTAGGCCAGGAGGCCTGGCTGGACCACTGCGGAAATGAGAAACACTTCGAGATTAGCACTAACCCTTAAGCCAGGGGTACTCCTGGGCAGCCTGACGAAAATGGGGACAGCCAGCCAGTTGAGGAGGCCTCGGTTGTTTGTTGTTCAGTCGCACAGTCGAGTCCGACTCTTTGCGACCCCATGGACCAGATCCCGCCAGGCCCTCCTGTCTTCCGCCATCCTCTGAAGTTTGCTCAACTTCATGTTCGTTGCATCGATAACACTGTCCAACCATCTCATCCTTTGCCGTCCCCGTCTTCTTTGACCTTCAATCTTTCCCAGCATCAGGGCCTTCTTCTCCAGGGAGTGCTCCCTTCTCATTGGGTGGCCAAAGTCTTTGAGCTTCAGTTTCAGTATCTGGCCTTCCAGGGAACAGTCAGGGTTGATTCCTTTTAGGATTGACTGATTTGACCTCCTTGCAGTCCAAGGCCTCGGTTACACCATCGCCTTTCTGGCAAAGCTCTTTCAAGCCAGCAGTGAGAAAGAAGGACGGAGATAAGACAGCGGCGTCGCTTGGAAGCAGAAAGCCACGGTAGTTCTGTGACACACACCATCACAGAATGGTGTGGGAGTTAAAGCAGAATCTGGAAGACTCAGGTTCAAATCCCCACTTGTGCTGTGGAAGCCGGCTGGGTGACCTGGGGAGAGTCACACCCTCTCATCCTAACCTACCTCACAGGGTTGTTGTGAGGATAAAACGGAGGAGAGGGAAACAGTGTAAGCTGTTTTGGGTCCCCACTGGGGAGAACGGTGGGATGCAAATAAAGTGATGTAAAATAATAGACAGATGTGTTCCAAGCTAAACTACATCTGATCATTAACCAGAGATTTAAATTAGAGGGATCTGAACCCCACCGTCACACAGAACACTTGAGAATATTGGAAGATCCCTGCTGGGTCAGACCAGTGAGGGTCCATCTAGTCCAGCATCCTGTCTCACACAGTGGCCAGCCAGTTCCTCTGGAGGGCCAACAACAGGGCGGAGAGGCCGAGGCCTTCCACGGTAAGAACATCAGAAGAGCCCTGCTGGGTCAGACCAGTGAGGGTCCATCTGGTCCAGCATCCCGTCTCACACAGGGGCCAGCCAGTTCCTCTGGAGGGCCAACAACAGGGTAGAGAGGCCGAGGCCTTCCCCTGAGAAGAACATCAGAAGAGCCCTGCTGGGTCAGACCAGTGAGGGTCCATCTAGTCCAGCATCCTGTCTCACACAGCGGCCAGCCAGTTCCTCCGGAGGGTCAACAACAGGGCAGAGAGGCTCAGGCCTTCCCCTGGTAAGAAGGGCCAACAACAGGGCATGGAGGCTGAGGCCTTCATAAGAACATCCGAAGATCCCTGCTGGATCAGACCAGTGATGGTTCACCTAGTCCAGCATCCTGCCTCACACAGCGGCCAGCCAGTTCCTCTGGAGGAACAACAACAGGGCATGGAGGCTGAGGCCTTCATAAGAACATAAGAAGAGCCAATGGTCCATCTAGTCCAGCATCCCATCTCACACAGTGGCCAACCACTTCCTCTGGTGGGCCAACAACAGGGCATAGAGGCCAAGGCCTTTCTCTGATAAGAACATCAGAAGAGCCCTGCTGGATCAGACCAGTGAGGGTCCATCTAGTCCTGCATCCTGTCTTACAGAGTGGCCAACCAGTTTCTCTGGAGGGCCAACAAGAGGGCAGAGAGGCCGAGGCCTTCCCCTGACGTTGCCTCCTGGCTCTGGGATTCAGAGGATCATGTGTGTCCCCCATGGCTAGTAGCCATTGATAGACCTCTCCTCCCTGAATCTGTCTAATCCCCCTTTAAAGCTCTTTATTCCTGTGGCCATCACAACATCCTCTGGCAGCGGATTCCACATGTGAATCACTTAACAAGGCACTCCCCTAACTCCAAAGTGGGTAGCCAATTGCACCAGTGGGGGGGTGGGGGGAATCAGGCCAGAACCTGCCTGGCAAGCAGTGACTGCTGAGCAGAGGAGGCCGTGGGCAGCCCTTCGGCCGGCCTTCTCGAGCCACACCATCCAGCCAGTTCTGGTGCTTTGGTCTACTTTCTGGACTTTTCTGCATTAGGGATTATCAGGAGTGGGCTGACAGTTATAGGGTGTGGTATACTTTTATTTTTAAAGAACTGAAATCCTTGTGGGGAGCGGGGGGTGTCCATGGCTCAGCGGCAAAGAGGGTGGCCAACCTCCAGGTGGGGCCTGGGGATCCCCTGCTATTACAGGTGATCTCCAGACGACCAAGATCTATTTCCCCTGGAGAAAACGGCTGCTTTGGAGGGTGGATCCTGGGGCATTAAAGCCCACTGAGATCCCTCCCTTCCTCAAGTCCCGCCCTCCCCAGGCTCCACCCCCAAAATCAAGAACCAAAAGGGTGAGAAGAAAGTCTAATGACGGGCCAATATGAAAAACCCTGTTAAAACTTATAATATACAAAAAATATTTTTTATTTTTATGTTTAAATAAAAAAGTATTTATTAGGAAGACAGTTAAAACCAGGGGTCATTTCCTGCGGGAGTGCACAGGAGCGGAGCTCCGGCAATAAGGAGCCCAGGGGGCGGGCACATGCAACAAGCCCCGCCCCCTGCTTCCAGCAGCCCTCAGTTGGGCCATGAGGAGCAAGAAGCAGCCAGGTAAGTTGCTGAGCCCCCCCCGGCCCACTTTCAGGTACAAGCTCTCCCTCCTCTGTGAGGGCAGAGCTGCGTGTTCCCCCCCCCAATAGCTAGCAATCCAAAACAGTCCAGTGGCACCTTTAAGGCCAAGTTTTATTCAGGTACAAGCTCTCCCTCCTCTGTGAGGGCAGAGCTGCGTGTTCCCCCCCCCAATAGCTAGCAATCCAAAAGAGTCCAGTGGAGCCTGAGCGGTGGGGGTTGCCTTCTGACACACTTCCGGTGATGCCAGGGGGTGTGGCATATGCAAATAAGTTATCCTAATAAGTTATGCTAATGAGCTCCGGCACGTCTTTTTCTACCAAATGACTCCTGGTTAGAAACATACATAAGGGCCCAGGGAAAGCCTCATGAAAAAAGATAGCCTAAACACAAGGGCCGATGCACATGGCCTGATGCGTTTCTGCCCTACTGGGGCCTTCTTCAGAGGTCAATCAATATCGAGATACACATAACTTACATACATATTGCAATAAGATAACCAATCAGTGAATAATGGACCAGGAAGAGGAACTGTGCATTGGGCACCAGACACATGACTTTCACCTTTTGAGGTCTCACAAACATCTTGCTGCTTAACCTTCCTCTTCCTGGTTCATTATTTTTACAAGTCTTTCATTGGGCCCTTATGTATGTTTTAAACTGTCTTTCTAATAAATACTTGTATTTTTGTATAGTACAAGTTTTAACTAGGTTTTTAATATTGGCCCTTCCTTAGAACTTTCTTCTCACCCTTTTGCTTCTTGATTCCAGTTTTTGGGTCAGGTTTGTTTTCCCCGTCCCTGTGTCCATCCCCAAAATCTCCAGGAATTTGCCATATCAGAGCTGTGGCAACCCTCATAGTAGAGCCCGTTTTGTACGCAGAACAGCCCAGGTTTAATCCCCATTTAAAAAAAAAAAGATCGGGTACAAAGTGATATGAAAGACCCCAGCCTGAGATTGCTTGTCAGGACTAACCAATACTGGCCTTCAGATGGTTTCATGGCGTGTTTCACACTTATAAAACCTGTGTGCATTGTTCAGGGATCCTCGTCTGTTTTAAATTATCTCGGGTATGTCCTCTTGGCTCAAGAACGTAAGATGCACCTTTCTGGATCAGACCAAGGCCAGCATTCTTTGCAGGCAGACACTTACAGACTGCTTTTTGTTCATCCTGGTATTAAACAGAACTGGCTAACTAACAGAACACTTACCTTGTCGGGCGATGACATCCGCGTCGATAACAGCACAGCCCAGCTCCTGCAGAATGGCAACCACCGTGCTTTTATGACCAGAGACCAATCAGAGACCACTGAAACCATCCTTTCCCTAGGCAAAAAACAAAACAGAAAAGGAGTGTGACGCATCAAAATGGTGAAACCCAGCTTCAGCCAATTCATGCTTAGCCTTCTGAGTGCAGCTGAGCCAGGGACAAGTCTGACCAGTAAGGGGAAAAGAACTTAAGAAGAGCCCTGCAGGATCAGACCAGTGAGGGTCCATCTAGTCCAGCATCCCGTCTCACACAGGGGCCAGCCAGTTCCTCTGGATGACCAACCAGAGGGCTTGGAAGCTAAGGCCTTCCCCTGATAAGAACCTAAGAAGAGCCCTGCTGGATCAGACCAATAATCCATCTAAATCAAGGGGAGCGGTGGCACAGGAGGGTAAATCCTGCATAACTATAACATCTGAACGGCCAAGCTTTGTCAGTTCTAGCCCTGTGCTGGTGTGAGCAACCAAGCTGTGTCCCTAGCTCATCGTCTACCCAGCGATTCGAAAGCTTCGGCAAGTAGATAAATTGGGGGCCACCCGTAAGGGGGTGGGCACACCACTCCCCTTGGGAGGTGTTAGCTGCCAGGACAGACATTTGTGGCGCGGCAAGATCAAAAGTGGGAAAAACCTGTTTAGGCATTCCCTGCAGTGGAGCGAATCGGCCAGGTGGTGGCAGTGTGGCAGTGCGACATCGAGAGCCCTGACGTCATCAGCCAGCAGACAGAATACATGCCGTCGGGACATGACTGATACAGCCTGCAAATGAATCCTCCGACCAGCTCCAATGTGTGTGTGATTAAATATTGTATGTTGTCTTCCCTATCCCCCACGAATATATTGTCAGTCCATTGTCTCTTTGAGTAACTGTAAATCGCTCTGAGCCCGCATGAGTGGGAAAAGCGATCAATAAATTGAAAGTATTATTTCAGGGCTCTTTTTGTAGAAAAAGCCCAGCAGGAACTCATTAGCATAATAGGCCACACCCTGACAGCACCACTTATTAGCCTATGAGGCCACACCCCATGTTACCAGAAGTGTGGTCATCCAGCCACACCCACCTTTCCCTTCTTATTCTGTTTACCTTGTTTGTTGTCAAAACCCAGGGCCTTTTTTTGTAGCAGGGACTCCTTTGCATGTTAGGCCACACACCCCGAATGTAGCCAATCCTAATGAGTTTCTGCTGTTGGGTGTGGCCTATTATGCTAATGAGTTCCTGCTGGGCGTGGCCAACTCAGGACCCAGCCGGAACTCCGTTCCTGCCCCAAAATAGCCCTGATTACTATTATTATTATTATCTAGTCCAGCATCCTGTCTCACACAGGGTCCAACCAATTTCTCTGGATGGCCAACCACAGAGTATAAAGGCCAAGGCCTTTCCCCAATGTTGCCTCCTGGCTCTGGGATTCAGAGGATTCGTGCCTCTGAATGTGGAGGTCCCCCTCAGACACCATGGCTGGTAGCCACTGATAGACTTGTCCTCCATGAATCTATCTAATCCCTTTTTAAAGCTGTTTATTCCTGCAATCATAACAACATCCTCTCGCATCGAATTCTACATTTTAACAGTTATTTGGGTAAAGTCGCATTTCCTTTTGTCTGTCCTGAACCTACTGCCCATCGGCTTCATTGGATGCCCTTGACTTCTAGTACTTTGGGAGAGGGAGAATTTTTTTTTTGTCAGCTCTCTCCACCCCATGCACAATTTTATAAACTGCTATCGTGTGTATCCCCCCCCCACAGTAATTTTTTAAGCTGAAAAGTCCCAGACTCTTCCGCCTTTCCTGCTAGGGAAGGGGCTCCAATCCCCTCATCAACTCGGTTGCCCCCCTCTGGACTTTTTCCAGCTCTGCGATGTCCTTTTTGAGATGCGGGGACCAGAACTGTACACAGTATTCCAAATGGGGCCGCACCATAGGCCATACAGGGGCATTGCAATATTGGCCATTTTATTTTTATACGAACTATTAACCAGGAGGGGTTAGTGGGTTGCAGTTGTTCAGGCTGGCTGTAGTTGTTCAGCAGCAAACGGCAGGACTCTGCATATGCTCGGAGGCCTGGTCATACCTCACCAGAGCACGATTCTCTGAAGCTGAGGCACGGTTTGGCCCCTATATGTGTACTCCTCTCCCTCCCTCTCAGTTAGGGCAGCCTCTGTACACCTCTCTCCCCCTCCCCTTTTTTTGGCCATCAAGTTGCAGCCAACGTATGGCAACCCCTCATGGGGGTTTGAAGGCAAAAGAGGAGCAGAGGTGGTGTACCATTGCCTGCCTCTGCGCAGCGACCCTGGGCTTCCTTGGTGGTCGGCCCAAGTCCTAACCAGGGCTGACCCTGCCGAGCTTCCAAGATCTGATGGGACGGGCCATCCAGATCCAAGCAGGAGGCAAACAGAGGTGGCTTGCCATGGCCGGCCTCTGCGCAGCAACCCCTGGGCTTCCTCGGCGGCCTCCCATCCAAACACAAACCAGGGCCCATCCTGCTTAGCAGCCCCGATTTGGCGAGATGGGGGGGCCGGTCTGGGCTACCCAGCCGCCTCAGAGCACCCCCCCCCCTCCTCCCCCGGCCGCGCGAAACGTGCTTTCCTCTTACCCTCCGGCGCTGCCTCTCTCGAGCTTCGCTCGCCACCCAGTTCCCTCGCTTCCGATTGGAGAGCAGAGGTCACGCGGGACAAATCTACCCAATGGCCGCTGCCGGGAACCGGAAGCTGCTCGGCGGCCGTGAAGCCAGGGGGAGACAAAGGGCGGCAGGCCACGGAGCCAGCGGGGGACGGGCAATGCCGAGAGTCCGCCGGATCGGCCGGCGCTGCAACGAGGCGCGTCGCTTCGTCCAAAGCGTCAGTCCCAAAATAAAAGCCTGGTCACGCCTTTTGCTTAAGACCTCGCTAAGGAACACCAAGCAAACTGTGCAGGCTCCTGGCCAGTGCTCCCTCTAAGCTGAGTGAGTGTGAGCTAGCTCACAGGTTTTAAGGCTCCGGCTCACACGTTTTTGGTCTTCGCTCAGGAAGGAGGGCTCCGGAGCAAACTAATGTATGCAGTAGCCAAATCGCTGGCTCACAACTTTAATGCCAGTAGCTCACCAAGTAGAATTTTTGCTCACAGGACTCCACAGCTTAGAGGAAACTTTGCAGTCCTGGCCGCTCAAGATGGATCGCCCTATTTGTCTGTCTGTAGCAGGCAGAAAAGGCCAATAGTACTAAATGCAGCGTTCCCTCTAAGCTGAGTTAGTGTGAGCCAGCTCACAGTCCTTTAGCCTCCGGCTCACACATTTTTGTCTTAGCTCAGGAAAGATGGCACCAGAGCAAACTAATTGATGCAGTAGCCATATTACTTGCTTACAACTTTAATGTCAGTAGCTCACAAAGTACGATTTTTGCTCACAGGACTCCACGGGTCAGAGGGAACATTGCCCTGGGCAATGTTCCCTCTGAGCTGTTAGTGTGAGCTA